ATAAGTGTGGCATTAATGATAACTGGGATCTTAAAGTGTGACATTAATGATGACTGAGATCTTACAGTGTGACATTAATGATGACTGAGATCTTACAGTGTGACATTAATGATGACTGAGATCTTACAGTGTGACATTAATGATGACTGAGATCTTACAGTGTGACATTAATGATATCTGAGATCTTACAGTGTGACATTAATGATGACTGAGATCTTACAGTGTGACATTAATGATGACTGAGATCTTACAGTGTGACGTTAATGATGACTGAGATCTTACAGTGTGACATTAATGATGACTGAGATCTTACAGTGTGACATTAATGATGACTGAGATCTTACAGTGTGACATTAATGATGACTGAGATATTACAGTGTGACATTAATGATATCTGAGCTCTTACAGTGTGACATTAATGATGACTGAGATCTTACAGTGTGACATTAATGATAACTGAGATCTTACAGTGTGACATTAATGATGACTGAGATCTTACAGTGTGACATTAATGATGACAGAGATCTTACAGTGTGACATTAATGATGACTGAGATCTTACAGTGTGACATTAATGATGACTGAGATCTTACAGTGTGACATTAATGATGACTGAGATCTTACAGTGTGACATTAATGATAACTGAGATCTTAAAGTGTGACATTAATGATGACTGATATCTTACAGTGTGACATTAATGATAACTGAGATCTTACAGTGTGACATTAATGATGACTGATATCTTACAGTGTGACATTAATGATAACTGAGATCTTACAGTGTGACGTTAATGATGACTGAGATCTTACAGTGTGACATTAATGATGACTGATATCTTACAGTGTGACATTAATGATAACTGAGATCTTACAGTGTGACATTAATGATGACTGAGATCTTACAGTGTGACATTAATGATATCTGAGCTCTTACAGTGTGACATTAATGATGACTGATATTTTACAGTGTGACATTAATGATAACTGAGATCTTACAGTGTGACGTTAATGATGACTGAGATCTTACAGTGTGACATTAATGATGACTGATATCTTACAGTGTGACATTAATGATGACTGAGATCTTAAAGTGTGACGTTAATGATTACTGAGATCTTACAGTGTGACATTAATGATGACAGAGATCTTACAGTGTGACATTAATGATGACTGAGATCTTAAAGTGTGACATTAATGATAACTGAGCTCTTGCAGTGTGACATTAATGATGACTGAGATCTTACAGTGCGACATTAATGATAACTGAGATCTTACAGTGTGACATTAATGACTGAGATCTTACAGTGTGACATTAATGATAACTGAGATCTTACAGTGTGACATTAATGACTGAGATCTTACAGTGTGACATTAATGATAACTGAGATCTTACAGTGTGACATTAATGATGACTGAGATCTTACAGTGTGACATTAATGATGACTGAGATCTTACAGTGTGACATTAATGATAACTGAGATCTTACAGTGTGACATTAATGATAACTGAGATCTTACAGTGTGACATTAATGATGACTGAGATCTTACAGTGTGACATTAATGATAACTGAGATCTTACAGTGTGACATTAATGATGACTGAGATCTTACAGTGTGACATTAATGATAACTGAGATCTTACAGTGTGACATTAATGATGACTGAGATCTTACAGTGTGACATTAATGATAACTGAGATCTTACAGTGTGACATTAATGATAACTGAGATCTTACAGTGTGACATTAATGATGACTGAGATCTTACAGTGTGACATTAATGATAACTGAGATCTTACAGTGTGACATTAATGATGACTGAGATCTTACAGTGTGACATTAATGATATCTCAGCTCTTACAGTGTGACGTTAATGATGACTGAGATCTTACAGTGTGACATTAATGATGACTGATATCTTACAGTGTGACATTAATGATGACTGATATCTTACAGTGTGACATTAATGATAACTGAGATCTTACAGTGTGACATTAATGATGACTGAGATCTTACAGTGTGACATTAATGATAACTGAGATCTTACAGTGTGACATTAATGATAACTAGGGTTGGGAACCGAGAACCGGTTCTTTTCCAGAACCGGTTGTGTTTTTGAAAAAATACCGGAACCGTGCAAAATTCCTAAGTTTCGGTTCCGAAAACGGTTCTGATGCCGATGCGATATCATCATGTGGGCGAAGTGCTGGGAGTAGAAGACGCCGTCTTATTCCTAAATGACAAAAACTTCACCACTGAAGTTGCGATTTGCTCTCACACGCGCTGCATTTGTCACACACAGACACACGCACGCTGCGCGCGCCGACCGCCGAGTCACTCTCTAGCCTACATTCAAATCTGTTTGCGCTGAGAGAGAGAGAGAGAGCAGTTGTCGATATGAAACTGCTTTACAATCACACAGTCTCAATATTTATTTGTTTCACATATTCAAATGATTTCCGTTACAGAATTAGTGAGATTATAGTTTGAGTAAACATTGACGGTAGTGGTCAAAACAGATGCAGTCCGTATATTTTTTGTGTTCAGAATTTACAAAATATATACAATGAGCGAGTGCATCATAATGTTTTTTTTTCAAACCGTGTTTTTGTCTTATCTTGAATCACTACGTAAAGCCTGTAATAAGCGTTAATACTCGGACTTCTTTAGACTGGCCGGCGGATCGCAGCCGCTGCGGAGTAGCCCAATGCCTGCGTGACTCGTCATGGACATAAACAGAGAGAAGTAGCTCCGGCAACTATGTTCTTCCGCAAGACGCATGCAGTTCTGTTTATTAACTGCTAGAGCGCCGATTTATCCAGTAATGAAATAAGTAAAGTCTTTATGAATCAATCATTCAAACCGTTTTAAAAAATAATCTGTTCTACACACATATGTGTGTTAAAGCATATACTATTCCTTCTGAGAGGGTATTCTTCACTGTTGGAGATACAATAAAGGAGAGGTCTAAATTATTATAGAGAATGCAGAATTTTTTAATTTCCTTTATATATAATTTTTTTTTTTTTTGCAAAGATTGCTTAATAATATTTTGAGTTTGTTTACATTACCAGTCTGTTAAACTAATTTGTCATGTACTATAAGAAATAAACACAAAAAGGATTGTGGATTTTTCTCTTACTAATATTTTTAATTGAATGGGAACCGGAACCGGAACCGGAATCGTTTGGCGGAACCGGAATCGGAACCGGAACCGGAAAATTTCTCACGATTCCCAACCCTAATGATAACTGAGATCTTACAGTGTGACATTAATGATAACTGAGATCTTACAGTGTGACATTAATGATGACTGAGATCTTACAGTGTGACATTAATGATAACTGAGATCTTACAGTGTGACATTAATGATAACTGAGATCTTACAGTGTGACATTAATGACTGAGATCTTACAGTGTGACATTAATGATAACTGAGATCTTACAGTGTGACATTAATGATGACTGAGATCTTACAGTGTGACATTAATGATAACTGAGATCTTACAGTGTGATGTTAATGATAACTGAGATCTTACAGTGTGACATTAATGATAACTGAGATCTTACAGTGTGACATTAATGATGACTGAGATCTTACAGTGTGACATTAATGATATCTCAGCTCTTACAGTGTGACATTAATGATGACTGAGATCTTACAGTGTGACATTAATGATGACTGAGCTCTTACAGTGTGACATTAATGATATCTCAGCTCTTACAGTGTGACGTTAATGATGACTGAGATCTTACAGTGTGACATTAATGATGACTGATATCTTACAGTGTAACATTAATGATGACTGAGATCTTACAGTGTGACATTAATGATGACTGATATCTTACAGTGTAACATTAATGATGACTGAGATCTTACAGTGTGACATTAATGATAACTGAGATCTTACAGTGTGACATTAATGATGACTGAGATCTTACAGTGTGACATTAATGATATCTCAGCTCTTACAGTGTGACATTAATGATGACAGAGATCTTACAGTGTGACATTAATGATATCTCAGCTCTTACAGTGTGACGTTAATGATATCTCAGCTCTTACAGTGTGACATTAATGATGACTGAGATCTTACAGTGTGACATTAATGATATCTCAGCTCTTACAGTGTGACGTTAATGATGACTGAGATCTTACAGTGTGACATTAATGATGACTGATATCTTACAGTGTGACATTAATGATGACTGAGATCTTACAGTGTGACATTAATGATGACTGAGCTCTTACAGTGTGACATTAATGATATCTCAGCTCTTACAGTGTGACGTTAATGATGACTGAGATCTTACAGTGTGACATTAATGATGACTGATATCTTACAGTGTAACATTAATGATGACTGAGATCTTACAGTGTGACATTAATGATGACTGATATCTTACAGTGTAACATTAATGATGACTGAGATCTTACAGTGTGACATTAATGATGACTGAGATCTTACAGTGTGACGTTAATGATGACTGAGATCTTACAGTGTGACATTAATGATGACTGATATCTTACAGTGTAACATTAATGATGACTGAGATCTTACAGTGTGACATTAATGATGACTGAGATCTTACAGTGTGACATTAATGATAACTGAGATCTTACAGTCACACTGTACGATCTCAGATATCATTATTATTAGTTTGTGTAATTAAAATTTGAAAGAACTTCTTTCTACATTGATACACAACAAAATGCAACAAAATACAACAAGAAAACAACAAAGCTGAATTTTAAGCAACATTATTCCAGTTTTCAGTGTCACATGACCCTTCAGAAATCACTCTAATACGATGATTTGATGCTCAAGAAACGTTTCTCATTATTATTATGTGGAAAACAATTATGTACATTTTTATGTCAGGATTTTTTGATGAATAGAAAGTTTCGAAAGAACAGCAGAACAATTTTACTTAAAAAAAAAAAAAAGTTTGAATAGTAGTGTTTAAAAAGAAGACTGTCATAATAACTCTGGCAGGCTATACCTGAGTGAGTCCTCCATCTTGCTGATCTTCCTCTTGCTATCAACCCGTTCCTTCTCCAGCTGGGCCTGAAGCATCTGCAACTGGGACAGGACAGCAGAAGTGTCAATCACTCGACAGCACAACTCAACAGAGCTGATGTGATTTAGTAAAGGTCAGAGGTCGTGTGCTGGCCTGCAGGTGTATATATATATATATATATATACGGCCTGTGCTTTGCAGATGTGCCCTTGACATAGGTCCTGCTTTATAACCGGACCGGCCCTTTGAAGACGGCACCAGGTGTCTGAGGCTGATCTTAAAAATTACCTTCACCTGATTGTGTCGGGACGATTATTAAAGCGGCCCTTTTTATGACAGTTCTGGGGCTTTGAAGAAAGACGTTTGAAAGGGAGCAGCTCCTACCTCCAAAGCTCATAATTAGTGGGGCAATCAGGTCGGGTCTATTACTGTCTCGTTACACTCCCCTTTCATTTGGGGAAACACTTGACAGATACCAACATGGTCCTGTTTCCACCTGGCAGTTTTAGTGGTCTGATCACATATGCAAATCACGGACCCTGGTTGGTTACCCACATTTTTCAATGTTCATTTTTGGGTGAATTATCCCTTTAACACCAGGTGGAAACAGGGCCCTTGTAACAAGCACTCGATTTTACAGCCTCAAATCTTCCCTTCATCAAAGTGAACTGGGGCAATTGAGAGCAGAGGAAATGCTTTTATGTCTAACTAAAACGGCCTGCTTTGGTTTATACTGCTTCTGAGACTGGTGGTGATTATGAAGACTGGTCAGTCTCTTAAACCGATGCTTTTCAAGTTCATTATAATTGCTTCAATATAATAACTAGGGCTTTAAACTTATCAAATTTGGTGTGAATAATCAAAAGTTTAATATAGTTTAACCCCCTGGCTCCAATGAAAGTTTTTTTTTTTTTTTTTTTTTTTTTTCCCAATCAGGCACCTCACCTCACTAAACCACACTAACTAGTCTGCATGTTTCTTTATAGTCCATGACTCTTGCATTGATATTTCTTGATACTGTATAATGACTAGGCTGCCCTAGGTGTCTTTGTTTCCACTGTATTTTCAATTTTGACATTTTTAGGTCAAACCGTTGTTGTCTGTCAGTCATATAATGGAGTTTTAGGGGGTCCACCTCAAAGAGCATGCACACAGAAGACAAATTAAACATGATTTAATGACTCTTGAATGTAAGTACACATTGATGGCCTAAGACACGAAACGAGCGGTTTGTGTGAGAAAACCAACAGTATTTATATAGTTTTTACCTCTTGTTAACAGCTACATGCACTGATCTGAATCAGATGTCCAACTGAACCGTCTCCAGACGTTACGCCGGAAGTGATCTCACACACCTCTACGTCACGCATTGTTTGCACAGAGATTTCGGAAGTTTTACCTTTCACTAAACATATTTAGTAGGGGTGTAACGATTCACTCGTTTTCTCGATGCATCGATTATAAATCCTGGCGATGCATATGCATCGATCCTGAAACATGTATTTTGAATCGTGAATCGTTTATTTACGTGAATAATCGATTTAAAAGGCTAAGAATCGAATTAATCACGATTTTATAGCGATTCAGTGGTTTAAAATATATAAACACAACCTTAAAGTGTTCCTGGTACAAGCTGCCTCACGCATTGGCCGTCATACGACATCCGCATTTGATTGGTTTCAGGCGCTCACACACCCCTGATTTCTCACGCTGAAGCCCGGTCGGTCAAATGCCTGAAAGATGAGTTTATCTTTCTACCTGTTGAGCTACTCATGTCGTGATCAGCTTGTATTACCGCAAATTAGTTAAAATCTCCCGGAATCTAGAGCGAGCGTGCATACGAGACAGAGGTTGTGCTCCAAACCGCGTATTGCGCGTTCACACACGGCTGCACGCACTCGGCAGAGAGGGAAAGCGAGCGAGACCACCTTGCGTGTACGGAGAGTCCATGTAATAAATGAATAAAAGCGTTTTATTTCATAGTGCCCACGCAATGGCATGGCAGCTTTATCAATGGCTTGAGCGGTTTGCCTCAAAACTATTGCTTTCTCGACAGAGAGCTCAGCTGGAGAGCTCAAACATGGACTGCTCAAAAATTTGTAGTTAACGTTATGAAAGCATGAGAGCTATGGGAGCGAGCGCGAGCAAAATCCAGTGAAAAGATGATATCGAGTGCACTGAGAGGACGCAAAATGAAACTAATGAAAACGTCTCCATTAATTTGTGCATGTAGTCATTTAATGCAATACTTTAAAAGCCTTTTTCAAAATATTTGCTACTTGCAAATGCTAATTTGTAGGCCATTGAATTTTTTTTTTATAATAATATATTCATTAAAATTAAAAACAAACATGAACTAACATTAACAATGGACAAAATCCCCACTATCTGACCCCCGAAGGCCGCTGTGTAGGCTAATTCGAACCCGGACAAAGATGGGTGAAGCATTGAAATAATACTATAATGCATATAAAAAATTAAGAATCGAATCGAATTAATCGAATCGCATCGAATTTGGATGTGAATCGCATCGAATCGAATCGTTCTGAATTTGCACAAATCGTTCATGAATCGAATCAAAAACCTATGAATCGTGAATCGAATCGATTCGCTGTCTACCCAAAGATTCACAGCCCTAATATTTAGATATACGGGAAATCGCAATGGAAGATGATTTCGATATATCTAAATATGTTTGGTGAAAGGTAAAACATCTGAAATCTCAGTGTAAACAATGCGTGACGTAGATGCGCGAGAGATCACTTCCGTAAAGTTTGGACACGGTTCAGTTGGACATCTGATTCAGATCAGTGCATGTAGCTGTTAACAAGAGGTAAAAACTATATAAATACTGTTCGTTTTCTCACACAAACCGCTCGTTTCGTGTCTTAGGCCATCAGTGTGTACTTACATTTACGAGTCATTAAATCATGTTTAATTTTGACTTCTCTGTGCATGCTCTTTGAGGTGGACCCCCTAAAACTCCATTTTATGAGTGATAGATAACACCGGTTTGACCGAAAAATGTCAAAATTAAAAATACTGTGGAACAAAGACACCTAGATCTTGGGTACCCTTGAGGTAAGATAAAACATATCAAAAATTAATTTCAAAGTGAACTATCCATTTAAATAAGCTATATTATATTATTAATAATATTGTACAGAGTTTGTGATTAAAATAATTACCTTTTTGACAGTGCTGTTTTGCAGATCTGTTATCTCTTGCTGCATCTTATTCTCTTGGTCCTGAACAAATCAAAACAAAACAAATCAATTCAATTAAATTCAAATTTAATTTAAGCAAAGCAAACAAAAACAAAGCAAAGCAAACAAAATCAAAAAAGCAAAGTAAATGATAACCAATGAAGCAAAGCAAAGCATAGCAAGTGTAATAAAAAAACAAAAAACAAAACAAAACAAAAACAAAGCATTAGAAAGAAAAGCTAAATAAAACAAAACAAAACAAATCAATTAAATTAAATTCAAATTTAATTTAAACAAAGCAAACAAAATCAAAGCAAAGCAAACAAAAAACAAAAAGCATAAGGAAGCAAAAAAACAAAACATATCAATTCAATTAAATTCAAATTTAATTTAAACAAAGCAAAGCAAAACAAAACAAAATTAAGCAAATCAAACAAAAACAAAGCAAAGCAAAAAAAAAAAAAAAAAAGCAAAGTAAATGAACCCAGCAAAGCAAACAAAAAAATGAAAAGCTTAAGGAAGCAAAACAAAACAAAACAAATCAGATCAATTAAATTCAAATTTAATTTAAACAAAGCAAAGCAAACAAAGCAAAGCAAACATAACTAAACAAAGCAAAGCAAACAAAAGGCAAAGTAAATGATAACCAAGCAAAGCAAACAAAAACAAAATGCATAAGGAAGAAAAACAAAACAAATCAATTAAAAAATAAATAAATAAAATAATTTACTTTAAACAAAGCAAAGCAAAGCAAAACAAAACTAAGCAAATCAAACAAAACAAAGCAAAGCAAATCAATTCAATTAAATTCCAATTTAATTTAAACAATCCAAAGCAAAACATAACTAAGCAAAGCACACACAAAAACAAAGCAAAGCAAACAAAAACAAAAAGTATGAGGAAAGCAAAGCAAAAATAGTGTAATAAAGCAAAACAAAAACAAACAAAGCATAAGAAAGAAAAGCTAAACAAAGCAAATGAAACAAAAGCAAGCCAAAGCAAACAAAACCAAAACAAAGCACAAGAAAGGAAAGCAAAAAGTGTAAAAAAGCAAAATAAATCAAAACATAACAAAGCAAAGCAAACAAAAACAAATCATAAGAAAGAAAAGCAAATGAAACAAAAGCAAAACAAAACTAAGACAAAACCGATAAACTGACAAACAAATAAGGAGTTGTCCACACTTGGTTTGAGCCGATATGTTTGACAGACTAATAACCAATTCATCAATTGTCATTCACACATAAAGCCAACGTGGAACGCCGATCGCAAACCGTTCTATTGGCTTTTTTCCGAGCGAGGAAAACATGTCAGTTCTGACTTTATCCATGGGGATTTGGCCAATAAGAGGGCACAAGAGGTCTGACAATAAAGAAAAGAGCTTCAGGGGCAAAGCAAGTTATTCCACACTGGCACAAACATTATGAAGACCAGTTTGATTCCTCTGGAACAACATGAACCGACGAACTGACTTCCCGAGGTCCATCGGGTCGTTCACACACTGACGGACTTGCATGATTTGCATGACAAAGCAACTGGTCATTAGTTTTCATTGAGAGTTTGGACTTTGAACATTATGCAAATCAGCAGTGATGTGATGCAGTGACTGTCAATGGAAATGAAGTCCAGACGTACGTAACTGTGTGTGTTGTTGTGTTAATTAACCAATAACGAGGGCAACCAACAGTGTGTGTGAGCGACTGACCCTGAGCTGTCTCTGTCTCCTGTTTTCAGTCTCCTGAATCTGCTGTTTCAGGAGAACCACAGTCTTCTCCAAATCCTCCATCCCCTCTGATGCCTGACAGAAACACAAACCACTTTCACAAAATGCTATGATTATGAAAGCGTAAACTTTACAAAGATTAGCTCCGTTTCATCACACACATCCAAAGTCCCCTCGGTAGACAGCGAGAATACTGTATAGTGTAGCTCAGGTTCATATAAAAGTGTGAGTATATACTTGGGACTAAATTGGCACACTTTTTAGGTTATACAAATATACTTTTAAGTGTGTCGGTAACAGATCATACGTCAAAAGGGCAAAATGGTAACAATTTACAATAAGGTTCAGTAGTTAACTAACATGAACACACAATGAGCAATACATTTGTTACAGTATTTATTAGTCTTTGTTAATGTTAGTTAATAAAATCCAGCTGTTCATTGTTTGTTCATCACAGTGCATTAACTAATGCTAACAAACACAAACTTTGATTTTAATAACGTATTAGTAGATGTTGAAATTAAGAAGTATTGCTCATTCTTAGTTCATGTTAACTAATGTAGTTAAGTTGCTCTGGCCATTTTACGATCATTTACCGCAATCGCTGTGTGGAAGGCGTTATAGTTTACTCATTGGTCCATAAAATCAGACTAATAGCACATGAATTAACATGTTTTTGGTTTTTGACAAGCTCAGGGAATCATTACAAACACACGTATACTGTTTGTAGGCCAGAAAAACACCTAATATTTGTGTGTACTGGGCATCTTAGAAGTCCTAATACGTCCTAATGCTACTTTTATACTTCATGTGAGAAGCAATAGAGCTAAATTTAAGTTCAGTAGAAGGTATCTGTCGATGTAGGGTTTGGATCAGAGCTAATACATCTGTGGCTCGTTGCATAAACCGTTAAGACTAGCCTTTTAAGACTTTCAAAAGTCAGTTACATAAAGACATAGATTGGCCTAATTTGGTAACAAAGTAAGACTAATGTGGGTCTAGTCAGAGAATGTGTAATTGATGAGAATTAGCACTGGCTGGTTCTGGACGGGCTGCAGTAACACGTCTCTGTCCATGCGGGGGCGCTCGCGGTCGAGTGCAGAATGAATGGGAGTCAATGGGGTTTCACCCCCAGAAATCCACTTTTCTCAGGATGTCATTTTTTGTCAAGTAATTTGAAAGTTGCATTCAAAGGGGAGGGCTGAGATAATACACTGCATTTTTAAGTTCACTTATCTGTTCTAAAAATCCGTTCAAAAATGTGATGACGTCACACAATAGCAGAATGCTAGCGTGTTCCAGCCAACAACGGCCTAACCTGTAAGAAATCAAAAGGACATAAGTACTCGTTCATTCGACTTTTGGCCTATAATCTATATTGAACTTGCGGAATCAACAATAAAATCTATGTTGATTTAACGACAAGCAGGTGAAAGAGACACAATTAGCCGTTTAGCCCCATAGACTCCCATTCATTCTGCACTCGCCCGTGATCACCTCCAGTGGAATTCTAATGCAACTGCAACCAAGATAATACACAACGGGGCTAATAGGAAGTGCCAAGGCTCTCCGTTAGACGGGCTCTGGTCTAGTGCTAGTGGGTCACACCAGATCTTAACATAATGTTTCAATTTATGCAACTGGCCCCAGGAATCATTCCTAAGCTTGTATATCAGAAAGTTAACTCACTTAACGGTTCAGTAAAAGTGAATCTGTGGAATACCACAGGAAATAAAAGTGAGTAAAGCACGTGTGAGGTGTAAGAGCTGATGCCTTGGCTGCAGAGAGTGTGTGTTCCTGCTGGAAGTGGCTCATGTCTGCGTTGTGTCTGGCCTGAAGTTTCTGCAGCGAGTCCTCATGCTGGTCTCTCATCCTCTCCATCTCAGTCTGCAGGGACACGACCCTGAAGAACACACACAATCACCACACACACAACTCTAGTCGAGGCAAGTCACCTTCATTTATATATAGCGCTTTACCAATATAGCTGTTTCAAAGCAGCTTTACAGTGATAATAGGAGATTGGTTGGGGTTTACAGCAGCTCTAGAATAAAGTTATTGTCCAGATAAAGCTAGTTTTGATTGATTCACAAGCGTTGACGATGTGCTTTATAGCCTTTATATCGGTTACATCTGCGATCAGTCGCATCTGAGCATGTCAGGATGTCCCGTACCTGTGGTGGGCCTCTTGTAGCTCAGCGCTGATGGAGGCGATATGAATCTCTAACTGGGCTTTCTCCTGTGTGACCTTCTGCCGAAGCAGGTTCCCGTCCTTCACTTCCACGGAGAGCTGCTTAACCCGTGACTCCAGCTCGTGCACCATCTGCTCCTAGAGGACAGTTTTACAAATGAACCAGCTCATCAAAAAATATCACACACCAAAAAAAAGATTCACAGATTTCAATCGCTGCAAATGAAAAATATTATTATTAACATGACACCGCTCTGACTAATCACTTAGCAGTGTTTGGGGCTCGAGAACGCAAACCTAGAAATAGGTTCCAGGTGCAAGTGTAAAGAAAAAAGGTTACACTATAAGAAACTTCATAAGTGATAAACATGAAAATAGTGTGAAAGAAATGTTCAGCTATAATAAAGCAGCTCTACAGAAGACAATTGTGTAATTATTTAGCTTAAAGGGATAGTTCGGCCAAAAATGAAAATCGTTAAAATAATTTTTATGGAAGTCGATGAATAACGTCGACTGTCTGGTTACCAACATTCTTCAAAATATCTTCTTATTAGTTTAACAGAAGAAAGAAATTCATACAGGTTTGGAACAACACGAGGGTAAGTAAATGATGACGTTTTCATTTTTGGGTGAACTGTACCTTTAATTTAGTTCAGTACAAATTTCAAACAAAATCTTGCACTTATGTTCATGTAGAAAAAATATTTTGTTTAATGCTTCTACTTACCACTGATTTTTTTGTTTTTGACTGTAAATAAAATCATAATTAAATAAATAGTGGTTTATGTAGTTAGCTGTTAGTAGTTATTATCACAACCAAAGTGTTTTTCAAAAAGACATTCAGATGGTAGAGTCCGAATTTGGCGTAAACAGAATGAGAACATGGATCCATCATGCCTTGTTCCCACTGTGCAGGCTGGTGGTGGTGGTGTAATGGTGTGGGGGATGTTTTCTTGGCACACTTTAGGCCCCTTAGTGCCAATTGGGCATCGTTTAAATGCCACGGCCTACCTGAGCATTGTTTCTGACCATGTCCATCCCTTTATGGCCACCATGTCCCCATCCTCTGATGGCTACTTCCAGCAGGATAATGCACCATGTCACAAAGCTCGAATCGTTTCAAATTGTTTTCTTGAACACGACAATGAGTTGACTGTACTAAAATGGCCGCCACAGTCACCAGATCTCAACCCAATAGAGCATCTTTGGGATGTGGTGGAACGGGAGCTTCGTGCCCTGGATGTGCATCCCACAAAATCTCCATCAACTGGAAGATGCTATCCTATCAATATGGGCCAACATTTCTAAAGCTTTCAGCACCTTGTTGAAAAGAGCCCGACCGATAAATATTTTGGGGTTTTGAAATCCGATATTCCGATATATCGGCCGATATTTTATTTATTTATTTATTTTTTAAACTGGACATTTTGTCATGCTTATTTGAGTTAAGACAACTGATGGGGATGTTCTTTTAATTGTTATTCAAGCAATGACCAACTCAACGAGAGAGTGCCCTCTGGTGGACAAACTATACAACTCCAACACTCATGACATGGTTCAAGCGTGTTTCGTCCGTTTTTATTTTATTTTTGAAATATTCATTTATCGGCCATTCTACTGCCGATACCGATTGTTTGGAAAATGCCTAACATCGGCCGATAATATCGGTCTGGCTCTATTGTTGAATCAATGCCACGTAGAATTAAAGCAGTTCTGAAGTCAAAACACAGTATTAGTATGGTGTTCCTAATAATCCTTTAGGTGAGTGTTTATCGGCTATTAATTTTTAAATTTCAAGAAATATCGGTTATCAGTATCGGCCAAAAGTTTCATATCTGTGCATCCCTAAATATGAATCGCTTGTATCTTGACAAAGTACAGCTTCAAAGTAGCTTCCCAGCAGTGGAGACCTCCCGAATGGGGGGTTCTTCTGTAGATGTGATGGTGAAAGTTGAACAGTTCAGTAACAGTGAGCTTAAACCGCCACCGCACCATCCTCATCCCCCTTTCAAATCTGATGCACCTGTGGGCCTCTGTTCTTTAGCACAACCCAGAGCATGCTGGGATTGAATATAAAAAAGGCATGTGAAGCAGACCAGCATTAAAGCATAGCTCAGCCCTCAAAAGAACATCTAGGATCTAGGATGGTCTTCATTTGAAAATGAGACAACCGTATCTGATGAAATACAGGAAGGGGGAAACTTTCCATGGGACAGCAAGAGCTGTTAAACCAAAACCAGACAGCGCTCAGACACACACACTCGCGTCTCATCGTTAATGGAGGCCACTGTCCCGTGCGTGGCGGCTGGAATGCAGGCTGATATGAACGATGACAGATTATTGATTGAAGATACATAGTTCAGATGATGAAAGTGGCCAGTGTTGAAAAGCACAGCTTTCTGATGGCGACGTCAGTGTCGAAACGCTGGAAAATAGGCCTTTGTTAACTCCCAGTGTGAAATGCGACATGATCTGAAAGAGTACGAATTGTGCGATGACGCACGCTTGTAATTAATACACTGACCCTGACGGCACACGCACATCCAATCATCTGAGCCATTCAACAATCTGCGTAGTTACCCATGTGGAGTGGGGTAAGAAACATAGGTTACACTTTATTTTAAGCTGTCATTGTTACAGTGTAACTATATATTTAAGTACTAATTAACATTAACCAACTACATGTACTTACTATAGGGTGAGGGTAGGATTAGGGTTTGTTGCATGCAATTATGAATAATTGACTGTTATTACTATTAAATGTAACAAAAACCAATTTTTAAACCAATTTAAGCAAACAATAAACAGCTGCTGATGTGACAGATTGAGATTGTGACAATAACGCCCTCTTCCAGGCAAACCCGCAGGTGACATGGGACACGTCTTTATCCTTTCAATCACACATGCCCTCATCTGAGAGCACGTCTCAGTGGCCAGGAGGATGTTCCCTAAAAAAGCGCATTCTCCACCAAAGATTGTATCATCTCTGAGGATACGGATGAATACTCAACCCAAACAAAGAGAAACTAAAAGCATATCTCATTCTCCTTTCAGGCAGACGTATTAGGTGATTTCCAACAAAAATTGTAGGGGTGTAAACATTAATCGATTCGTATCGATCCATCGATTATACAGCCGCCGATACGAGACATCGATGCGTCCACTAGAGAATCTGTTGTCTGTTTTCAGCATCAGCTCCAACAATTCCTAAGCTAACCTCATTGCTGTCTTCTACTTCACACCGCTTCACACATGTTACGTTTCACAGTCTATCTATATCCACACACATTGTTGAGTCTGACTTTCAAATGCGAGGGTACCGTTAGAGCGAGCTGGCAATGAAAGTCCGGTCAGCGTCAAGTCATGGGTGTGGAAGTATTTTGGCTTCAGGAAAACAGATGGAGCAGTGGTAAGAGATGTTGCCGTTTGCAGAAAAGACTGCTATAGTTTACAAAAACGTGAAACTCACCGAGTGGTCTACTGATATGCTCACACAAAAGTCCGACTTGGTACAAAAACTACGATAAAACTTGATTCAAAAAACTCGATTTTTGTGTGAACACCCCAGACCACTAAAAAAACTAAAGTTTAATGCGTTTTATGAATGATTGTTCCACATAGACAACTATTGTGTAGGTGGAGTGCTAACACAGAAACCTAAAATTCTCGGGACATCAGCATTTGTCCAAATTTCAATCTTAACCGTTCTATTTCATCAGAAACGATCTTAAAACAGGGCTTTAATGGTGCGTTCACACCGGACGTGAACAGCGCATCAGGCACGAGTGATATCAATGTTAAGTCATTGCAAAGACGCGTTACACGCCTAAAAAATTCCAGCGGCACGAATGAGGCGTAGAGCGCATCGCGGTTGACGCGAATACGCCTCATTCGCGCATCAAGTTCGCGTAAATTGCGCGAATTGAGCGTGTGGCACGTTAAGCGCGAATGATTTAGTTAGTGCTATTTGCGCATTCACACGTTTGAGCCGCCCGAGTTGAAAAATCTGAACTTTGGCGTCAATTTGCACTGCGTTAACCAATCAGGAGCCTAGCTGCTTGCTAGGAATTGGGAAAGTTGTTTTTCTGTGGTGTTTTTAAACAACAGGTAAAGGTCCTTGTGTACGTGATCTTTAGTTCTCATCTCAAGGCATCATATACTGACTCTTTTGCCAATGCGTATACATCCAACGCACATGGCACCCTTTAGCGTCAATATGAGACGCAGATATATATGGGCCAGAAGGCGCCTCCTAGTGGTCTAACCCTAATGGTGCGTTCACACCGGACGCGAATAGCGCATCAGGCGCGAATGATTTCAATGTTAAGACAACGCAAAGATGCGTTATGTGCGTAAAAAAAATCCGGCAGTTAAAGCAAATTTGCCTCTTTCGCGCATCAAGTCTTTTGAGCGCAAGCGCATTACGCGCAAATATATTAGTTAGTGCTATTTGTGCGTCTGCCACCCGAATTGAAAAATCTGAACTTTGGCGTCAATTCACGCCACGTTAACCAATCAGGAGCCTAGCTGCTTGCTCACGTGGTGGAGTATCTGGATGCTTCAATAAATTATTTTGTTAATATGACTAAATGCATGGTGGGATTATGCACAACAAAGCAAATATTTTATCACTTAAAACTTTATTTCTACATACAAGACATGTTCATTTTGTATTGAATGTTATTCAGTCCATATCGAGATTATTGATATGTATTGAATGTTATTCAGTCCATATCGAAATATTATTATGATGTAAAGACAACCAACATACATGTGCATAAGTTCGTGTCTGGACGTGAGAGAGAAAATAATCACAGGACAGTTTAATTATATTCGGAAGCTGACTCTATTTATCATCAAAACAAAAATAAATGACAGCTAGATTAGGTGGACGAGGCGAGGGTGATCCTCGCTGCGATGCGGGACAACAGGTCATCAAACTGGGCGCGGGACAGGCGGAAGTACCGCTGACAGCGAGCAAATAGTGAAACTCGCCAAACGGTTCGCTTCCGAAGGGTCCGGTGGACTCAATATGGCGACGATGATCCCCACGCCGCTGTTCTGCTCTCCAGAGTAAATACAGAGCGGTGACTCTCTCGATGAATGCTCCATCAACAGAAAAAAAGATGGCCGCCAACGGGTTTCGATTCTGACGCGGGTAAATTTCGCTTCAAACTTTTGTTTTTACGTGCGCTCATCATTTTCGCTCTTGACGCGTGAATGGATTCAAAGTGTTTAAGAGTATAACTAGGCGCAAATTTGACGCGCTATTCATGTCTGGTGTGAACGCACAGTAAGTGTAAAATACCGAACTAATTCTTTAAGAGAGCCACTCTCTTTCCACTCCAAGAATTCACACACACTCACCAAATCTATTGGATAGGAAAAGCGTTGCCTAGTCCGATGAGTCCGGTTTTCTGCTGCAATATTCAGATATTCAGATGGTAGGCTCAGAATTTGGCGTAAACAACATGCCTTGTATCAGCCGTTCTGGTGCTATAATAGTGTGTTATTTATATATTTCCCAGCACACTTTGAGCCTCTTATTACCAATCAAGCATAGTTTAAACACCAGTCTACCTGAGTATTTTTTGCTGACCATGTCCATCCCTTTATGACCACAGTGTCCTCATCTTCAGACGGATTCTCCCAGCAGGACAACAGGCCATGTCACAAACTCAAATCATCTCAAGCTGGGTTCACCAGTCACCAGCAACGCATTCTCATCCCAAGGCGTCATATAGTGACGCTTTTGCCAATGCGTATACATCCAACACACATGGCACCCTGTATAACGCTTTGGTTATGGTAGGTTTAGGTCTGGGGTAGGGTTAGACCACTAGGAGGCGCCTTCTGGCCTATATATATCTGCGTCTCATATTGACCCTAAAGGGTGCCATGTGTGTTGGATGTCTACGCGTTGGCAAAAGAGTCAATATGGTGAGTACAGGCTGTCACCAGATCTCAATCCAGTAGAGGAACGCAGGATTCACTCCATGGATGAGCGGCTGATAAATCTGCAGCAACTGCGTGATGCTATATGGACCAAAATGTTGACAAGTAATGTTTTCAGCACTTTGTTGAATATGCATACACACAATCTTCGATAAACCGTCTTTATTTACAATCAAAACCACTAAACCAGTAACAGAGCAGAAACCAAGATATGTGTCAACAACAACCTACAAACACAAAGGAACTAAAAAAGATGGTAAAAGATGAAGATGATCCCAAAACATGGAACTAAAAAAAGAGTAACTATAGAAAACAAGTGAGGATATAATGAGAAACGTACATCAGATATCCAGGTTGTTTTGCAACGTGAAAGTTAGTGATGAGGACACAATTTTGACAATGATGGTTCATTCCCAAAATGTATTTGACCAGCAACCAGCTCTGAGCTTTAACCACTCCTTTTAATGTGGACTATGTTAACCCTAAAATCTCTATAAATCTCTTAAAGGAGTAGTTCACTTCTGAAAAAACTTTTGCTGATAATTTACTCACCCCCATGTCATCCAAGATGTCCATGTCTTTCTTTCCTCAGTCGAAAAGAAATTTAGGTTTTTGATGAAAACATTCCAGGATTTTTCTCCATATAATGGACTTCAATGGGAACCGGATGGTTCAAGGTCCAAAAGACGGTTAATAACAGTTTCAGATGCAGCTTCAAATGTCTTTAAACGATATCAGACGATGAATAAGGGTCTTATCATGCGAAACGATCGGTTATTATCAAAACTTATTCCAAAAATGTAACTTTTCTAAAGACAAATGCTAGCCTTGCTCTATTCTGTGAGGTGCGTTTGTAACATCACGTAATACGTAATTACGTTCAAAAGGTCACGGGTGACGTAGCCGGAAGTACAGAATCAAAATCGTCCGACATCGTTGTTTTTCCTTTTTTTGTAAACGGCGTTTGAGTTAGTTTTCACGTTCAACCTATGCGTTCAACTTGTAAACACTCTGACTCTGTACTTCCGGCTACGTCACCCGTGACCTGTTGAACGTAATTACGTATTACGTGACGTTACAAACGCGCCTCACAGAATAGAGCAAGGCTAGCATTTGTCCTTAGAAAAGTTACATTTTTGGAATAAGCTTTGAAATAACCGATCGTTTCGCATGATAAGACCCTTATTCATCGTCTGATATCGTTTAAAGACATTTGAAGCTGCATCTGAAACTGTTATCAACTGTCTTTTGGACCTTGAACCATCCGGTTCCCATTGAAGTCCATTATATGGAGAAAAATCCTGGAATGTTTTCATCAAAAACCTAAATTTCTTTTCGACTGAAGAAAGAAAGACATGGACATCTTGGATGACATGGGGGTGAGTAAATTATCAGCAAAAGTTTTTTCAAAAGTGAACTACTCCTTTAATATTTGTGCATCAAGTGGCTATACTGTTATGATTATAGAGCATATTTGACAAACGGAAGTTGGTGGCTGATCCATCTCTCAGGTAGAGTCATCAATCTCCATTGAGTCCCAAATGTGATGAATATGTATCATGTCATCAATATTAAATGTGTTGCCTCCTCTATTGAGCACTTGGCCACCAATGAGTGCTGGGAATATTACGCAGAGTGAAGGGAAAGAACAGTTCTGACACGCTCCCGAGCGGGAAGCACCCGTTGGCGCCCCGATCTCGCCCATCCAGAAGATGTGAACGCTGGCCGATGTGACTCCACGCAGCTTTGAAGAGCTTTTTTGAGAAATAAGGATAGCGTCGGAGTGTGCCACACAAAAGATTGATGAAAGAACGAAAGACAAACAAAGGCTTTCAAAGGCTAGAGTATTGAGACATCAAACGCAAAGTAGAAACAACACACAGCATCTCACCTCAAGCTGACATATTGACAACAGCAGCCTATGAGGAGAGAAGAGGTAAGACAAGAGGTTGCTGAGGTCAGCCTAAACCAACAGGACGGGAGAACCTAATTTCCAATGACAGAGGGGCCTTTCATCTGGGGCCCTGCCTGGAAATGTGCTGTGTTTAATTATTAAAGAAGGGTCATACTCTGTGGGGTCGGCATGCATTTGAAGTCTCGTAAATTCGGGCCTGCTGACAGGCCGTGTGCCTTTACCTGTATGACAGCCGCTGAATGCTAATTTGTAACAAGCTAAACTCATTAGGCCTCAGTCGAGGTCTGACGCGCGCCCCGGCTCATCTTGGCCAGAGCGCCACACAGTCCTCCAGTCACGAGTGGGACGACTTCAACCCGAGCATATAAGGAAGGCACACACAAGACCACGTTTACAAGGTGAGAGAAGAGGAGGAAAGAGACGCACCTCTACACAAAACACGAATGCGGACGAGGATGATTGCTTTACAAGTAGGTCAAGTCAAGTCACCTTTATTAATCCGAATAAATTCTCGAATTATGTTGTACTTTAAAATCTTGAAATAACGATATTCATTTAAATTGCTCTTATCCATGCTAGCCTAGCCCAGAACAGAAGCATACCGCCAATCCAAACTGTCTGCTAAATGTCAATCGTATTTGGTCCTGACAGAACTGGTCGTATGTATCTCAAAGCCACATCATGTTTCCATTGAACCGTGTTGAAGTGTGTGTGAGTGCACTCACAGTGGCCTGGTTCTGGCCGCTGTACTCGGCCTCCATCTTGGCGAGCCGTTGGTTGGTGTCCTCCAGCAGCTTCTGGATGTTGTCTGTGTGCTGCTTCTGCATCTCAGACTTCTCCTGTTCCATCTCCGCCACCGCAGCATGAAACTGTGAACCAATCGTACAATAGAGCTCAGCACAAGAGATCCAGGAATGGGGAAAAAAGGCGCCCATTCAAGAAAATAAACTTTTCAAGATCCTTAACGTAGTTCACTTTTGGAAAAAAACTTAAACTTAAAAAAAATTTAAAAAATTACTCACCCCCATGTCATCCAAGATGTCCATGTCTTTCTTTCTTCAGTCGAAAAGAAATTAAGGTTTTTGATGAAAACATTCCAGGATTTTTCTCCATATAATGGACTTCAATGGGAACCAAACGGTTCAAGGTCCAAATGAGAGTTTCAGTGCAAACTGTTCAAAGGGCTTTAAACGATTCCAGACGATGAATAAGGGTCTTATCAATCGAAACTTTAATTTAAACTAAAAAAATAAATAAATAAAGTTATATACAAAATTTATAAGCTCAAATGCTCTCATTGCTCTGTTCTGTGATGCGCGTTCGTGACTCTCCTGTTCGAACTCGTTCGTCAAAATGAACAAATCTTTTTCCAAGTCATTTGGTTCATTCAACGAACGAAACGAACAAATTCACTCAGTCACGAACGCGCATCACAGAACAGAGCAAGGCGAGCATTTGAGCTTATAAAACTTAAACTTTGTTATTTATTTATTAAATGTGTGGTTGTTTCGCTTGATAAGACTCAAGAATTCATCGTCTGGAATCGTTTAAAGCCCTTTGAACAGTTTGCACTGAAACTGTCATTCGGACCTTGGACCGTTTGGTTCCCATTGAAGTCCATTATATGGAGAAAAATCCTGGAATGTTTTCATCAAAAACCTTCATTTCTTTTCGACTGAAGAAAGAAAGACATGGACATCTTGGATGACATGGGGGTGAGTAAATTATCAGCAAGTTTTTTGAAAAGTGAACTACTCCTTTAAGCAGTTGGTTTATGCTAGTGTGATTTCAAGTATGAAGAAAACTGTCACTAAAAAACAGTGAGTGATCACTGTTGCACTCTGTAATCCCCACTGTCCACTGGATACAAAACCAAATTATGTTAAACTGGCGACATTTGGTGCTCTCCGGTCACTTTTGACCAAAAACTTTAATGTTTAGTTTTTTTTTTGTTTTTTTTTTTACTTCAATGGAATGGTACGAAACTTGGTAAAGGTTTTGGCACTTGCTATGTGTACACACAAAACAAATCATGGACATGATACAAACAGAATAAATGGTCCTAAAAAAAATAATCACACTTGTGCTCCTCGCAGTCAAAAATGAGCGCATTGGAAATAAATGGGTGATGAATTTCATCTAGTGGAAGCGTTTGGTACTGCAGCAAAACTAAATCTGACTGGGAATTTTTGGAGAATCAAGCTCAAATTTGTTAAGATTGATGGCTTTGCTTGCAGTTTTAGAGTGAAACTTGATTTTAAAACAATAAATAAATATTTTATAAAAACAATGTATTGTATTTTTGTATTTAAAACTTGTCTCACTTTAGCAATAATGTCATCTCCGAAAAGAAATAAAACTTCAGTCTGTCTTAAGTTGGAAATTTAATTTCCAGGTCTATGCGCAAAAAGTGTGCATTTATAAATACAGTGTAAATATAATGAAGTACCATAAAATCCCCTAAAAATACAAAGTATTAAATCAAATAATAATAATTCTGTAATTTTTGACCGACACGCGAAGAGCCCCAGAAGGTTAAATCAGCACAATTCCCAATAATGTCCATTGTGTCAAAAGAAAACTAAATGTTTAAAGCTTATGAGACATAAAAACAGATAATTAGCACTCCTAAGACGATCTCACGTTGCCATCTGGCCTTCCTTATAGTTGAGCCCCGAACACGAGGCCTACAGAATCTTACGTTTAGAAACAGAGAACAAAGAGAATGTTTTATAAGGCCTGAAGCAAGATAGCCTTCAACCGAAAGCCTGAATAAAGGCAGGGTCGGATTCTCCAGGAAAAAAAAGATTGAACTTGTGAGTTTTTCTTTTCTATCTCTGCAATAAACACACACCTACTGAGCACTCAGAAGAAGATGGATTTTTGAGATTCTTTCTCAGACTCGGACAGGATTGGCTGAGCTCTAAAACTCACTGAGTGTTCAGTGTTCAAAGGCGGGACAGGCCTGTGGAAACCTGAGCCTTTTCAACCCTTCCTTACCTTCTTCTCCCATTCGTTTTTCAGAGATTCAGCACTTTGATCAGACATTTTCTTCAGCTCGATGATCTGTTTCTCTTTGGTCTGTCGGATGACCTGGGACTCTCGCAGCAGGCTTTGAACTACAGGGGGGGAAGAGAGAGAGAGAGAGGTAGACACAAACATTCAGGCCTCTCTCGGTCTTCTCCAACCCCAGGCCTCCCTCAAAGCACCACTCTTCTGGACTCAAAAATAATACAAAGTTTTTAAAAAGTACAAACAATAGGAATGAAAACCGCAACAGATATCTCGGTGTTAAATGAGTTAAGGAGGAGTGTATTACAGCAGCAATCCATAAAAGGTTAGTTGTGTGAGGGACACATTTTAACATTTTAGCCGGTGTTGGTAATTAAAACAAAAACGGGTAACGCTTTATTTTGATGGTCAACTAACTCTCATTAGAGTATCAGTAGACTCGCTGCTTAATATCTGCCAACTCTTTATTGTGATGATCCTCCAACAGACATTATACTGACTTTGCAAGTACATGTCAACTTATTCTAACCCTAACCCTACTAACAGTCTAATAAAACTCTAATGAGAGTTAGTAGACATGTTCTAGGACCATCAAATTAAAGTGAAACCCAAAGCTGTAACATGTACTTCCAAGCTGCTCCTGAAGTTCCCAAGAACCCTTAGTTTAGTTTATGCCTGACATCACTTCCACATCCACTTTACTTTTCAGGAATGTCATCATTAAAGGAGAACTCCGGCGAACAATGAACCTTTGGTCTAAAAAAACATCGGTACCTAGTCAATCGTTCTCTGAGTTTTGTTTTCATGATAATCGAATGTAAAGAGTTTTATCTCTAAAAACTGTTTAGCGTATAATGCTAGTAATGGGGGCATTGAGTAAGTAAAAAGAAATCGCTAGTTTATACCACTAACAAGGCTCAAAATAGCCCCACACTAACACAGTAACATAATGAGGCTCCATACATACAAAACGAAGCATTGAGAACTTTGTAAGTGTACAGACCGTTTAATAAGGAGATACTTTATGAAGACAGTTCACTTCGCGTATACAGACAGGAGCCATCTTAAAAAATAGTCTCGATAAGTCGATCCCCGAACGCCGTTCATAGTTCAGAAGTTCGTTGAACTTCATAGAGTTCAGATCACTCAGCAAGACGTTCGTGGTTTGACTTATCGAGACTATTTTTTAAAATGGCTCCTGTCTGTATACACGAAGTGAACTGTCTTCATAAAGTATCTTCTTATTAAACGGTCTGTACACTTACAAAGTTCTCAATGCTTCGTTTTGCATGTATGGACCCTCATTATGTTACTGCGTTAGTGTGGGGCTATTTTGAGCCTTGTTAGTGGTATAAACTAGCGATTTCTTTTTACTTACTCGATGCCCCCATTACTAGCATTATACGCTAAACAGTTTTTAGAGATAAAACTCCTTACATTCGATTATTATGAAAACAAATCTCAGAGAACGGTTGACTATGTACCGATGTTTTATTAGACCGAAGGTTCATTGTTCGCCGGAGTTCTCCTTTAAAGGCCGCCTGAAATCAAAATGTACGTTTTTTTAGCATTTAGTATGACTATGTTAGCCTTAATGTTATGAATCAGCTGGTGTGCTCCAAAACAATGACAAAATTCACATTTAGGGGATTCGAAACGTACAGTCTCTCACTTCCGCTAAAATGGATCAGGGATTTTCAACGCATTCTCATCCTTTAACGTCATATGTGACGCTATATGCAAAAACGGCGCTATACTACGCACATGGCACCCGTTATCGTTAATATAACACACGCTGTTATGGTTAGGTTTAGGGGTGGGGTAGGGTAGAGTAGTCTCATATTATGCTAAAGGATTTATGACGACTTGGGTTTGCGTATTATATTAACGATAAAGGGTGCTATGTGCGTATAGCGCCGTTTTGTCATATAGCGTTCTATGTGACGCTAAAGGATGAGAACGGGCAGGGATTTTATGACTTCGGCTTCTCATCACATCTTCTGTCCAATCAAACGCACTCTATAATCTGAAGCTCCGCCCCCTCAGCTATAAAAACCTTCTGGCCAAAGCGAGCGTTGACACACAGAGCAACATGGGTTGGAGTGTGTGTTCGATTGCTCAAACACTCCAGTTTTACTCGGTTAAGTTGGTTAAGAACGCTAGCGTATCATCAGCGCTTGGATTGGCTTCCATGGTGCCGTCAAGTACGACTGCAGTCTGAAAGGAAACTAAACGCTATTGGCTGTTTGAAAAGGGGGAGGAGCCATTCAATATGCCCCGCCTCAGCTCCTGTTTCAGTGTAAATGACGTCAACGCATCAAACAAAGCTGCCCGATCCAAGGCACTTCAGTGGGACTTCAATAAAGAATCATTTGACTGAAGAGTTCTCTCAATAAATCATTTTGGCAGATACTAGGTCAAAGGCCACAAAAATAAAGACTGACCGACTCTAAAGTCTTAAAGATAAAGCCTTTTTGTGTGCAAGTGTGATTCATGCTGTAATACAAGCCTGTTTACAAGGTGCAGCTTTTGTTGGGTTCTCGTTTAAATGTTTTAAGGGCCGTTTCATTATTATTTTAGATTATGAGCTCACCTCTCTTCTCCAGCCTCCGAACCGTCTCCTCCGCCTCCTTCTGCTTCCCTCGATACATGCTCTTCAGCTCATCAATCTCACCGTTCTTACGGTCCAAAATCTGACAAAATACACACAAACCAGAATTAAAGGAGTAGTTCACTTTTGCTGATGATTTACTCCTTAAAAAGGACACCTATTATGCCCCTTTTTACAAGATGTAATATTGGTCTCTGGTGTCCCCAGAATGTATTTGTGAAGTTTCAGCTCAAAATAACCCATAGTTAATTTATTATAACAATTTGAAAAAGTCATTTTTGGGGCCTGTTTAAAAATGAGCTGTTTTGGTGTATACGACCTTAAATGCAAATGAGCTGCATATCCCCGCCCTGCCTTTGGATGAGGGCGTAACTTGATACCTATGACAGTCGGTAAGCAGAAAGGCTGAGAGAGTGAGAGACGCGCTGTTTTGAATGTCATTCAGCTGTACCCATGTTTGAATGGGAATACATAAATAGTCTCTGATCAGACCCAGATGACGAAGAGACCAAAATGTATCGATTTTTAGAACCGTATCTTTCTCGTTATGTTTATCGCTATCATCTTTGGTGTGAACGGGCCTTTATACATTTCTCCGAAGACTGTGACTGGTGTTGTGCATGGTTGTCATGGTGTTGCTGTGCAGTTGCTAAGGTGTCGAAAGTGGTTGTTAGGCTGCTGTGATTATTGTGTGATATCTGGTCTCTAGGTCCCTTCTTCTGTGTTATTCTGTGGGGTTCATTGATCTATGAGGTGAAAATTAAAATGAACAGAACACAAATGACTAATTATGACACAAATAGTGCGTGACGAGTTCCTAGATTTAAAGTTTGGGGTTTGGGGGCATCATAAGTCGGACCTCGTAAGGGCATCAGTTCACTGGTAGAGGATCCAAGACCTTAAAGGGCTGTTTTTGGCATTAATGATTCTGAATGAATCTATCGAGTAAATGATTCAACGACTCACTCATTATACACTAATTTAATGGTGTAATGATGTGACCTACAAAGGGGGGTCACTAAACGAACCAGTGGAAGATTCTGAATGGTTCTTTTTGGTTCAAAAGAGTCACTTTGGATGAATCAAAATCTTTTTTTTTTTATCCTTGGCCTCGGTCACTTGGTGAGACAGATCACTCTGATTGGCCTTTAGATTAGTGATCCGGTGAATGTGAAGAAAGCAGGCAATCAATGAAATCAAGAGGGAACATATGAACTTCAAAACATTCATATTTTTAAAACGACATGGCCTTCAGGAATGAAGCGTGAACGAAGTGAAGACCAACTCATCAATATGATTCATATTCAAAATCGAAAAAGCTTTGTTTACGATTTGTATATTCGCAGTCTTAGTTTCATTTTTGAATGATGAATACACACTACTGCCACCTGGTGGTATGGAGAGTTATTCTATCTCACAAAGGCTGAAAACGCACATGCTAGTTGGCGACACTGTGTTCAAGCGACACTTTTTGCCGCCAACATAGCCAGCTTTCGTCCGCAAACGTTTTTTGATGTTGGTTTGATGTGTCATAGCCTTTAGATGTTTGTTCAGATCACCAACTCTAAGCATGAGCAATAGCGATAGTGATACTTGCATTAGCAAAACAACACTACAAACAAGCAGCATTCGTGACACTGAGACGACAGATGACAGAACGTTTATGTTCCAGACTTTCCAGCTAATCTAAGAGCCATAAATACATTTCAGTGGGAACAGAGTTTAAATAGAGGTTTGTGGTGCTTCCATATGACAAGCTAATGCTGGCTGCAGATTACAGAGGATAATGTTCTTATTCACAAGCATGACCATGAAGGAACTCGCCCTCTCCTGCGTCACTGAATGCTGGAATTTGCTGCTTTGAAGCCGACATTTAAAGGATGGAGGGGGGGCCAGATCCCAATTTTTGGCCCTTTCCTCAGCAAAGGCTTTTTGCTTAAGTATATTATCTGTAACAGTAGCGTAAGCTTAAAGCAGCGGATGACAAACATCTCGCATTATGCTGTGGGAAGGAAGACCACTCCAGGAGACACACACACACATGACCCCACTGACAAGAACCAAACAAATCATTCTCTTCTGTGCATTGACATATTTTTTGCGCGCTGAAGTCTCTCCATTTGGCTTCGGTTGCTTCTCCCCGAGTATAGTGTGAGCAAATAGCATGTCATTAGCATACATTAGCATATGAATAGCATATCGACTGTTGGACCTGCTGAATGTATACGCCCTTCACTGAACAAGTCTATGTGAATGACTTGAAGCAGTCCTGAATGGACTGGCACTTGTTCACGAACAAACTAAACAAACTGGGACATGGCATTTGTGAATGTACTGAATGAACAAGGTATTTCATCTGCTGACCAACAGTGATTGAATGAAAGGGGGCATTTGATCATTCAGTTCAGTATGTGAATCACTCTCTTCAACAATAAGAGAAGAAGGAGTAGTCCATTTTATGGCTGTGTAAAAATAACGTCTACTACATGTAATTAAATAGAGTTCACTTCTGAATTAAAATTTCCTGATAATTTTCATCCACGTCATCCAAGATGTCCATGTCTTTCTTTCTTCTGTCGAAAAGAAATGAAGGTTTTTGATGAAAACATTCCAGGATTTTCTCCATATAATGGACTACATTGGGAACCAAACGGTTCAAGGTAAAAAAGACAGTTTCAGTGCAAACTGTTCAAAGGGCTTTAAACGATTCCAGACGATGAATAAGGGTCTCATTTAATAAATAAATAACAAAGTTTAAGTTTTATAAGCTCAAATGCTCACCTTGCTCTGTTCTGTGATGCAGGTTTGTGTTCAAACTTGTTCATCAAAATGAACGAACCTTTTTCCGAGTTGTTTGGTTCATTCAACGAACGAAAGAATTGACTCAGAAAAAGATTTGTTAATTTTGATGAACTTTGTTATTTATTTATTAAATGAGCGATCGTTTCGCTTGATAAGACCCTTATTCATTGTCTGGAATCGTTTAAAGCCCTTTGAACAGTTTGCACTGAAATTGTCTTTTGGACCTTGAACCGTTTGGTTCCCATTGAAGTCCATTATATGGAGAAAAATCCTGGAATGTTTTCATCAAAAACCTTAATTTCGTTTCGACTGAAGAAAGAAAGACATGGACATCTTGGATGGCATGGGGGTGAGTCAATTATCAGCAAAAGTTTTTCTAAAAATGAACTACGCATTTAAAGGGCTGTTTTTTGTCATTTAACGATTCTGAATGAATTTATCGAGTAAATGATTCAACGACTCACTCATAATACACCAAAACACACTAATTGCTGGTATAACGATATAAACTACAAAGAGGGTCACTAAACGAACCAGTGGAAGATTCCGAATGATCATTTGTGGTTCAAAAGAATCACTCTGAATGAATTCAAATCTACAGCACTACTCGCAAGCATGTTCAACAGCAAAAGAGGCCAAATGAATATGCAAAATAGACATGCAAAAAGAAAAATGGATAAAAGGAAACGGACTGATCTTTGCACAGAAAACAGCGTTACGTATTCCTTTTGATGCGTCTCAGGAGCACGTTGAGTGTTAACATTGCAGGCTCTGTGAAGCATGAATGAGCGCTGCCAGTATCTGAGAGGACTCGAGCCTCAGACTGGAGGAACTCACTCATGACCTTGTCCCTCATCTCTCAAAGACCTCTACGGTGGGCTCCCAGACTCCTGCGAGTCCTCAACAATCCGCCCATTGTGCGACACAGTGCGGGCTTTTGATGAACCCAAGGAATTCAGAAATCCTTTGTGGCGGGGAGGGACGGAGCCAAGCGTAACCCGTATTTAGCGAGCTCCAAATAAACAGCAGATCTGCTGGGCTTGTTCCCAGTCTTGAGCTGTGGGTGATAAGATGCCTGGGCTCAAGGTGGGGCATTTCAGAAATGTGTTTTATCTGATGCGGTTTGGCCGTTTGTTGGGACCGCTGTAAGTCCTTTGATGGCCTGACCTTCTGCAAGCCGCCTGTGTCCGAGTGGGAGTTCAAAGACTGTCGGCCATTGTCTCAGTGAGGGTGGACGACAGCGTCACAACCAGGGGTCTGTAAATCTCAAAGGACCCTATGGAGATCAACGGCTCGGAGGACATGACAGGGCACACGAGAGCCAGCCCACCAACGGACAGCACTGCATAGCACTGTGTGTGTGTGGTGTTTATAGGGTCTTCAAAGAAAGATGCACCTGAGCAAATATTGACATTCTCAGAACAGACTCTTTCAGAACCAAACAACAGCGCTCATTAAGAGCAAAGCGGACACAATGACAGACCAAGAGTTCATGTAACGTTGAACACAAAGAATCGGTGAATTAATGAGTTCAAGATCCAGAGGAAGCTATTGAGGTTACTTCGCTCCCAGTCCACACTGGAGAAACGAAACAAGAATAGCCCCTATTTACAGAAGCGCTCTCTGAGGTCGGGGGAGATGGTCTCGACTCTCATGAGGCCTGATAGACCTTATTCACAGCAGAGACATCTTTGATTTGTAACGGGAATGAAAGCCCTTAATGGTATGGCCTTAAGGTAGCCAATGATGTGTTGGTTTTAAGTCACATGACATTTGGATGTCCCTCCAAAACTCTCTTTCCCTCTATTACCATTGAAGTGCTCCGGAAAATACTCGTTTAACCTCATTTCTAAACATCTCTTCTCAAGTGATAAGTTAATTACATATTTTATGCACAAATCAACTTTGTCTAGCATAGTTTTACTGTAAATTGAGACAATATCAATGTTTTCAAATGATAACGCTGTACCACGGTGGGATTGCAGTAATGTATTTCCCAATTGAGATTTTTTTTATAGATAGTAGAATCAACAATATGATTGCTGTTATTTATTTCAAGTGTTTATCGTAGTGTAGTTGTATTTATTTATAAATAACAAACTTGATTTCTTCGTTTCAGAAAATGAACACAGCAACAGAAATTTTACTGAAAGAGCAAAAGTGAGGGATTGAATGATAGGGATCTACTTATTTTTTGGTTTGCATGAGTTTCAAGTATATAAATTTGGGCTGGTCAACGATTAATCGCGATTAATCGCATCCAAAATAAAAGTTTGTGTTTACATAATATATGTGAGTGTAGTGATTAATCGCAAATAATCACATCCAAAATAAAAGTTTGTGTTTTTACATAATATGTGTGTGTAGTGATTAATCGCGATTAATCGCATCCAAAATAAAAGTTTGTGTTTACATAATGTATGTAGTGATAAATCGCGATTAATCGCATCCAAAATAAAAGTTTGTGTTTACATAAGATATGTCTGTGGTGATTAATTGCGATTAATCGCATCCAAAATAAAAGTTTGTGTTTACATAATATGTGTGTGTAGTGATTATTCGCGATTAATCGCATCCAAAATAAAAGTTTGTGTTTACATAATGTATGTAGTGATTAATCGCGATTAATCGCATCCAAAATAAAAGTTTGTTTACATAATATATGTGTGTGGTGATTAATCGCGATTAATCGCATCCAAAATAAAAGTTTGTGTTTACATAATATGTGTGTGTAGTGATTAATCGCGATTAATCGCATCCAAAATAAAAGTTTGTGTTTACATAATATGTGTGTGTAGTGATTAATCGCGATTAATCGCATCCAAAATAAAAGTTTGTGTTTACATAATATATGTAGTGATTAATCAAAATAAAAGTTTGTGTTTACATAATGTATGTAGTGATTAATCGCGATTAATCGCATCCAAAATAAAAGTTTGTGTTTACATAATATATGTAGTGATTATTTGCGATTAATCGCATCCAAAATAAAAGTTTGTGTTTACATAATATATGTAGTGATTAATCGCGATTAATCACATCCAAAATAAAAGTTTGTGTTTACATAATATATGTAGTGATTAATCGCGATTAATCGCATCCAAAATAAAAGTTTGTTTACATAATATATGTGTGTGTGGTGATTAATCGCGATTAATCGTATCCAAAATAAAAGTTTGTGTTTACATAATATATGTGTGTGTACTGTGTATAATTATTATAAATATATACATGCATGTGTGTGGTATTTATATATATACAAAATAATTATACGCACTACACACACATATTATTTAAACACAAACTTTTATTCTGGATGCAATTAATCGCGATCAATCACTACACACACTATGTAAACACAAACTTTTATTTTGGATGCGATTAATCGCGATTAATCGTTGCCCAGCACTAATATAAATCTATCAATTTCTAAAAGAAATGTGCAATCAAATAGAAACGAAAATCATAATTTTATAGAAAAACTACTTTTTTGACCATTTTCTGTTGTGGTACCCCGCCCCCCCAAAAAACTTTTCACCAATCTTTTTTTTTTTATTTGTATGATTGACGCTATTTCATGTTATAAAAACGTATATGTATATATATATATATATATATATATATATATATATATGTTCCTCTGACAAAACACTGCAAAATATCTTTCAACATAAATGAGCGGTCAATATACTACGAGCTGTGGAAAATAATACGTTTTATACAGCTTTTTACGGCTTATGCCATTGAAAACACAGCAAGTGTATCCCTCACAGCCTCACTTTCATACCTGTCATGGCGCTACTCTGAATAAGGTCTAATACAAAAGTGTTCAGGGAAGAGAGGTTGGGTATCACAGGCGAAAGGACCATTTCAGAGCTGGCTTTTCCTTTAAACACCAAAAGCAACTTCATTCAAACCAAACATGCCTCCCAAATGTTATTATTCCCTCCATCTGAAAAGTCAGCGAGGCCCTCAGTGGATTATTTATCCTGCTAAACAAGAATAGCCCTAATCAACAACAGCTCTTATTTACAGAGGTACTCTCTGAGGTTGGGGGGTGACGGTCTCTCATAATGTCTAATAGAACAGTGTTCACTGAAGAAATGTTGGGAATAGCATCATTTCAGAGCTGGTTTTTCCTTCAAACACGGACGCAACTTCGTTCAAAACCGAAAATGCCTCCCAAAAGTTATTATTTTTCTCTCTGTGAAAATTCGACGAGGCCATCAGTGGATTATTTATCCTGCTTTTTGTCCATCAGAAGTGCACTCTGTTGCTAAGCTCATCATCCAGTGAGACGGCGGCCTGTGAAAGATGAAAGCTCGCGCCCAAGAGCGAGGGAAAGACGAGGTTAAAGGGAAGTTCCCGGAACATTTAGGGACACACAATTTCCCCATCGTCTCCTTAAAGAGCTCTTTCGGACACCTGCAGTCGTAACAGAGTGCCGAGGACGAGGTCCAGGGGCCGATGGGCTTTTAGGGATGACATGAAAGACAACAGCCTGCCAAGCATCATGTTACGCCTTATAAAGGCTGGTGACATACAAACATCTGTAAACCCGGTTCATTTAATAGGCTTTACTGACGCAGAATGTCACTGGGAATGACGGAAACATACAGTAAAGGTGGAAGTCACAGACAGAACATGCCAGTTTTTAAGTTTCAGAAATATAACTAGTAAGACATCTTATGCATTAAGCAAACTGAGATGGACTTTGAGTTTCAAACATGGATTGTGGATCTATTTTTCTTGTGTTTGAATACACGTTGTTAATACAGAGGTCGCATTAGACTTCCCCAATCTCCATCATTTTGACACAGCGTTGTAAAAATTATGTCATAATTAGGGCTGTCAAATGACTAATCGTGATTAATCGCATCCAAAATAAAAGTTTGTGTTTACATAATATATGTGTGTGTGTACTGTGTATAATATATTATATATATATATATAACACACACACATGCTTGTATATATTTGAGAAATATTTTCATTCTGTATACAGATTTATATATAATTTATATTATATATAAATATAAATATTTTATCTATAAATAATATTTTTTCTTAAATATACAAACTTTTATTGTGGATGCAATTACTCGTTTGACAGCCCTAGTCATAATCTATTATTATTACCCGTCATTTTAATTTTCATATTTTAATGATAATAACCCTCTGTGATAATGGGCTCTGTTTTTGAATGTTTGTCCAATAAATCGCAATAAACCTTTTTACTTTTAATTTGAAACAAGGTCTCAGCTTTCAAATTCTGTCCATTTTATCACACAATTTAAACAATAAACACAGATTTGATGCTCTTTAATGTGGCAGGAGAGACGATATGATGACGGGGAGTAACTTTAATTTTGGGGCAAAGTATTTGAAGGAATATTTGACAGGTCGTCGATTAACAGAAGAGTTCACCTTCTGGATCTCGGCATCATGTTTCTGCTGCATCCTCAGTGTATCCTCCTGATGTTTGGCCTCCAAGACTTTAGTCCTCAGCTCAACCTACAAATCAACAACAGATCCAATGACACAATGACAACATTCCCCTGTTGTTTGTGTAGTGGTAATGGATGTGTAATGGTTTATTGCACCAAAAGCACAATTTAAAAAAATGAACATTGGCCTTAGCATGGTAATGAAGAGCCATTAATGGTCTCACCTGTAATTAACTAATTCTAGAGTTAAAATTTACAACTATGTTACTTTTTCAAAAGCCCAAGTTTAAGTTAGAATCAAGAGTTTTAAAATTATGGATTTTCTTGAGTTATTGACTAAACAATTGATTTTCCCCATCATGTGCTCGGATAATAATGACAGCTATTAGGAAAAACCTGGAAATTAACATGTTCATTATAATAACACTTAAGGCAAATGATTTAAGTACAAATTCTGTCAAACTGATAAGGTTTAATGAGCTGAAAATAATATAAAATACATGAAAAGTTGGTTAATTACATAACTGCATGTGGATGATACCACAAAAGACCATTTTGTAAAAAAGAGAAATAAATAAACAAACAAACAAACAAACAAACAAAAAAGATTGAAAAAAATGAGGGATAAGCGATTAATCGCATCCAAAATAAAAGTTTGTGTTTACATAATATATGTGGGTGCACTGTGTATAATTATTTTATATATATAAATACACACACATGCATGTATATTTAAGAAAAAAAAAATATTTATTTATAAAATATTTGTATTTATAATATATAAATCATATATAAATATATATACAGTATATGCATGAAAATATTTTTTTAAATATATACAAGCATGTGTGTGTATTTATATATATATAATAATTATACACAGTGCACCCACATATATTATGTAAACACAAACTTTTATTTTGGATGCGATTAATCGCGATTAGTCGTTTGACAGCCCTAAAAAATTATATATATATATATATATATATATATATATATATATATTTCAAATAAAACAATGAAAAATACCCTGAATTTAAATGTGACATGTCTCCCCAGATAGGAACAAATTTAATGTATTCTTCCATAATTTTGTGACTATTATGAAAATTTCCACTATTATATATATATATATATATATATATATATATATGTATAAAAAGGCCTTTTCAGATTTTCCAGAAAGTTTGAAAACAGTTCTAGAAAGTGCTACTTACAGTATAAGCAGTAATGTTTGTTATAGTATATGTGGTGGCCTTTTTGAAACTTAGATGAATATGGCCTTATTCATTGTTTTTAAGCAAAAGCTCATTGATTTATGATACAGGAAATCCGTTATCTGAAGAACAGTTAAATGGTTTTAGCCACACAAACAAATCAAATTAATAAAAAAAAAAAGTGCTAAACTTATTTCAAAAGAAATGTTTTTCGTGATAGGACCAATTTAGAAAAAGCCAAAGTATAGAAATGCGTGAATTAGAGAGTTGTGTTTCCTCTACACCTCCAGCCTCTTTGCTCTTAACATCGCTCACTGAAAGTCAGTTAAGACAGTTCAAAGCGAACACAAAACCACATTAGGAAAGAGTCCGTCTGTTCAGGAGGACACAGATGATTAACACTGGACAGTAAACGGCAGATAGACGAAGATAAAAGTGTTATACACACATAATGAGAACAGTTAAGGAAGCTTGTTTACCGCCACAGAAGAAAACATTTGTTTTTGTTGAACACAATTGTGACTTTATAACTCCAAATTGCGAGATGTAAACATGCAACTCTTCTTTTACTTAGAATTGGACTTTATGACGTCAAAGAAAGTCAGAATTACAAATTATTTCATATGTTTATAACATAATTCCGATGTTATATCACATATCTAAAACTTTGATGACGCAATTCTGACTGTATAACTTTAAATTGCGACTTTGTCACAAAAATCTGAGTTTATATCACATTTACAACTTTTGATCACGCAATTCTGACTTTATATCACGCAAATTTCTAAAAAAAGTTAGAATTCTAATTAATTATTATTTCTCACAATTCAGAGTTTAACATAATTATAACTTTATATCCCATAATTACCACTTTTTATCACGCAATTCTGACTTTATAACTTTAAATTGCGAGATGTAAACATGCAACTCTTCTTTCACTTAGAATTGGACTTTATAACGTCTAAAAAAGTCCGAATTATAAATTATTTCATATGTTTACAACATAATTTCGACGTTATATCACATAATTACAACTTTTATCACACAATTCTGACTGTATAACTTTAAATTGCGACTTTGTCACAAAAATCTGAGTTTATATCACATTTACAACTTTTTATCACGCAATTCTGACTATATCACGCAAATTTCTAAAAAAAAGTTAGAATTCTAATGAATTATTTCTCACAATTCAGAGTTTAACATAATTATAACTTTATATCCCATAATTACCACTTTTTATCACGCAATTCTGACTTTATAACTTTAAATTGCGAGATGTAAACATGCAACTCTTCTTTCACTTAGAATTGGACTTTATAACGTCTAAAAAAGTCCGAATTATAAATTATTTCACATGTTTACAACATAATTTCGACGTTATATCACATAATTACAACTTTTATCACACAATTCTGACTATATAACTTTAAATAGTGACTTTATGTCATAAAATTCTGAGCTTATATCACATTTACAACTTTTTATCACGCAATTCTGACTTTATATCACGAAAATTTCTAAAAAAAGTTAGAATTCTAATGAATTATTTCTCACAATTCAGAGTTTAACATAATTATAACTTTATATCATAATTACCACTTTTTATCACGCAATTCTGACTTTATAACTTTAAATTGCGAGATGTAAACATGCAACTCTTCTTTCACTTAGAATTGGACTTTATAACGTCTAAAAAAGTCCGAATTATAAATTATTTCATATGTTTACAACATAATGTCGACGTTATATCACATAATTACAACTTTTATCACACAATTCTGACTGTATAACTTTAAATTGCGACTTTGTCACAAAAATCTGAGTTTATATCACATTTACAACTTTTTATCACGCAATTCTGACTTTATATCACGCAAATTTCTAAAAAAAAGTTAGAATTCTAATGAATTATTTCTCACAATTCAGAGTTTAACATAATTATAACTTTATATCCCATAATTACCACTTTTTATCACGCAATTCTGACTTTATAACTTTAAATTGCGAGATGTAAACATGCAACTCTTCTTTCACTTAGAATTGGACTTTATAACGTCTAAAAAAGTCCGAATTATAAATTATTTCATATGTTTACAACATAATTTCGACGTTATATCACATAATTACAACTTTTATCACACAATTCTGACTATATAACTTTAAATAGTGACTTTTTGTCATAAAATTCTGAGCTTATATCACATTTACAACTTTTTATCACGCAATTCTGACTTTATATCACGCAAATTTCTAAAAAAAAGTTAGAATTCTAATGAATTATTTCTCACAATTCAGAGTTTAACATAATTATAACTTTATATCCCATAATTACCACTTATCACGCAATTCTGAGTTTATAACACACAATTCTAACTTTACATCACATAATTACAACTTTTATCACACAATTCTGACTATATATCTTTAAATTGCGACTTTGTCACACAATTCTAACTTTATATCACATAATTACAACTTTTTATCACGCAATTCTGACTTTATAACTTTAAATTGCGACTTTATATCATGCAAATTTCTGAAAAATTCAGAATTATGAGATGCAAACACAATTGTGAGATGAAAAAAGCTGTATTTACCTTTTATTTATTCTGTGGCGAATTTAAAAAAAAATGCAAACAAATATATTTTAATAAATGTATTTATTTTAAAAGTTGATTTGTACTTTAAAGACCGTTGAACAGTAGATGACTTTGCTCAGTGCAACACTACATACAGTTTGCGAATCATTAGAAGATAGATTTATGATCAAGGAACAATTAAAAATACAAGTTTTGTTTTGTTTTTGTAACTGGTTTTTGATTGTCATCTGTACTTTAGTGAGCAAACGCTAATTAACTTCCCTCACCTACAGCAACCTCAGGCTTTTAATGTGCCTCCAGATTTCTGAGATCGAAAGTTCAACATTTTTCTCAACTGGCCTGTTAGTACATGCTCTTCAATGCAAGCACACACACACACAGTGATGTTATACAATAAGTGCTGCTGAAAGTTTCGTCACTATGGCCGCCGGTCATTCCTGAAGCGGTGTCTTTCTTCTCGTGTATTTAGGGAAGCATGTTTTGATGTGGCATGAGCAGAATTTTAGTGTGTGCCTCCCAAGCCTCTGGCTGACTGCGGATCAGTCTTTCAACGTCTGCCACCAGCGTGGGACACGATCTACTGGCTTATCAGATCCGCTGCAGGGCACTGTACGGCCAGAGTAAACGAGTGTGTGTGTGTGTGTGTGAGAGAGATCCAGAAAGGAGAAACCAACTCAACTGGAGTGGTCACGGGAAACTTTTAACTGTGTTCGAGCTTCATCTGTGAATGCTGGGTCAATGAGAAAATTGCTTGACATCTTAACATTATACAACAGCAATAGGGCCGTAAATTTTGAATATTCGTCAATAAGAAAAGTGCATTCGATTTTTTGGTGTGTCAAGAGGCGCTAGACATGATAATGACGTCACTGACGCGGTTTGTTTTTGTTGGCTTATCCAGTATACCGTTGTCAATTTGAGAAATGGTCACTCTAAAAAAAATGCTGGGTTGTTTCAACCCAAATGTGGGTTGAATATGGACAAATCCAGCCATTGGGTTCAACTTTTAAAGGGGTCCACCACCAGATGTAAAATAAGTCCCCAGAGTGTGTATGTAAAGTTTTAGCACAAAATACCCCACAGATATTTTTATATAGCATGTTAAATGTGTCACTCACTGTTTTAGTGTGTGTCCCTTTAAAGGCAAATGAGCGGTTACTCCCGGCACAGGGGGAGGAGCTTCAAGAACTTGTGTCCTTTTACCTCACACACACATGCACTGAAAATTGTTCAAACCGGAGTCAGAA